TATATATATATATGTATATTTTTTATATACATACATATACATCTACCTATATATATATATATCTCTCTCTCTCTCTCTCCTCTTTTTTTGCGGGGGGAGGGGGGGCATTCATGGTTTTCGAGTGTAGGAGCTTTAGGGTTTGGGATGTAAGGGTTTGCAGATGGCGGAGTTAAACATTCAGTGGACTAGGAAACTATAGTTAGTGTTATAATATTCCCCTATAGTACGTACATAACTATACCACGGAGGGTGTAGCACGGGTGCGTCGATGCTCTCTCCTTGATGGCTAGTGTCGAGCACGGCCATACCAGGATTCTTTCCGTCGAAAGCATGACAGCACGGATTCTAAAAGAAGAACAGTGCTGTCGCTAGAGTGCGTGGTGTCTTTTTGCAGTGTCCACTGGGAAGTACTAGGTTATGCTAGGAGCCGAGGTGACTCTGTTGACGTTTGGGCTGTCGGCACCTGCAGAGTGCAATAGCTGGGGGCTAGCGGCCAATTTCACACGAAAGTGCTGGCCCAAGGCCCAACTTATCTAGAGGCCTGAATAATTACCGATGTTATTCCCTCGAACGCGCACCTAGCGGCATCGGAGTCCATCAGTAGAAGAAGAAGAAGAATGTTATTCCCTAGGGCTCCTTTTTTTTGACCGTTGACTTCATTGCTTAGTGGATCCATGTTTCGACGCCCTACTTGAGAACGCCGTTTGTTGTATTGTAACCTGGTGTCACCTGTGCGAATAGTGGCTACATGTGCCTGAGTACAGCCGGGCTAATAGCTAGACCGGCTGTCAAACGCATTTTTTTAAGCGCTTCTTTCCGGCGCGCTTGCGTCAATCTTGCTGCTTCTATAGATTCTATAGCCTCTGAATATTGCTATCCATCGCTCATCCATCTCTCAGGCGAAGCAGAAGCAGCCAACAGTGTTGTAATGGTGTTTCACGATGCCGACAGTGAGCCTGAACCTCACACTGCAGAGACCGAAAAAGGCTTTCCGACATTTGGATTAACAATCTGAGTGTTGTCTACGCCGGCAGAACTCATGTTCCGAGAGTTGTGTATTATATCTATAGTAACACGGCCTATGCCGTTGAATCGTTGTGTAGAGGTCTTGGGGCGTGCTGCCAGCCTCGACCCTGGTATTTAGCGCCCATCGATCATCGAAATCGTGCCCCTTGTCGGCTTCGGGGCAAGGGTCCTGCGGTTTGGGAGTTTGGATTCGGGCTTTGCTTTGTACACCCGCCCCCTAAACCCGCCGAAACCCCAGCCTCCGTCGGAGGGGCGGCTTTGGATTGAGGGGCCCTGGGCGCAAGGAGCAAATAGAGCAGCTGGAGGCTGAGAACCAACGCCGGACCCCGAGAGTGACCTGGGCCGACCAGCGAGAATACGTCGAAATGTTTGTCTTAGTCTTTGTTTAACGGGCATTCTCCTTGTCTCTACTGTTAATCTTGTGGATGTTATATCCACCCCTGGAAAGGTGTCTTCAGGCATTCTTTAGAGGAGTGTCACAGTAGCGTCGTTGCGACTGGCACTCAACCTTGCGCTTATTCCTGACGGCACCCGTCGAGGTCTAAAGGCCAAGCTGGAAGACGAGTCCAGCCGACATGCCGTCCAAACTGAGGATATGCACGGCCCCAGCACGCAGAGATTTCGGTCATGGAGGGAAGAGCAGTACTAGTAGCAGCAGGAGTAGCAGTAGCAGCAGTAGTAGTAGCAGTGGCCCCCCCACCACAGCAGCAGCAGCAGCGGCAACTCGCAACAGTTTCTGTGGCACGTTGTGGAGGCCCAACTCTAGCAACTTGGCTCGTGGGCGGACGTCTTTAAGCCCCATGAGCTGTACAGCAAACGTGCTTTCCATCGCTCCGCCACACCCCTGATCGTCCCCATACTACAGAGGCCGGAATAACCACCATAATTCCTAGGATTCCTGATTACAACTCTACGAGAATGTATGACATATCCCAAAACGCTGTTCTACCGCTATATCACAGCCTTCAGCTGCACAACCGGATTGTGGAGGAGCTGGAAGCCTCACATCGCGACGCCCTGGCTGCCGCAGCAGAACAGCTGGAGTCGCAGCGCGTGGACCTACTCTCAGCTTCCGAAAGCTTGGAGTCTTGATTTCTGGATGTACCTGTCAAAGCTTAGAAGAAGAATTCGTTCTGCAAGCACCTCAACAGCAAGAACAGGTTTTGTTTAGCGTGGAATCTGCAACGTGAATCGGTTGCAGGGCAGCTCAGGCACTGTCATATCATACGAGTTGAATTCTCGTAGGATCTCGTAGGTTTGGGAGTGTAGAGCCGGTTAACAGCTTCAGGAGCTTCAGGCACTGTGGATGACCTGTTCTGTCTGCAGTCTACACGCAGATTGCAGGATTGACGTGAAGTCATGAGGTTCGGATTTCATGCTTCAAGTACTTTCCGTGCAAGGCTTACGTCACACAGATGGAGGACATGCGGCAGAACCTGGATAGCCAGTACCGTCAGGCCGTGTCCTCAGGTGGAGGCCTTGTCTACTGCCCTTGAGATGCAGAGTTAGGTCGGGCAGTTGAGGGTTCAGGTCTGTTTGGGCCCACGGCCCTCTCCACTATGTGCCACTTGAAGAGCAACTCTCTACGAATTCAGGGAGTGGGTGCCCGGTACGACTGCC